GGGGAGATGCTGGCACCCAGCTGGCACCCATCCACATCCCGAAAACCAAAGCCCTGGGAAGGAGCTGCGGGTGCTGGGATGGACACACGGAGCCCAAACGCAGCGACCCAGCAAACAAACACCGAAGCAGGGGGAGCGGTGGGTTTGGGAGGGAGAAAACGTGTCTGGTGAGATGAGAGGACAGAGCTCCGGCACCGGACAAAGCAGCTTTGGGAAGGGGCTCTCACCCCCCCTCTCAAGGACCAGGGAGCACGCTTGAATAATTTGCAGAAACTTTAGAAGAAATAGATTAATTTATATTTAATTTATGAAAGAAGAAAGGGTTGGGGTTTGACGATTCTGTTTAAACTCTGCAGAAGTAGAGACCTGGGTTAGAAATGGGGCAGCGAGCCCCGGCAAGTCCTTCTCTGCTCGCTGTGGGCAAAGGGGCAGCTGTGAACGCACGCGTGTGAACGAAGTCAGTCCCCACGGTGGGCAATAAACGTGCGGACCTGAGGGAGGATAAGCACTGGTGGTTCTTGCCAAAATTATCTTTCTACCAAATCTAAGACTTTGGGCATCCAAACCACGCGGGTGTTCAAATCACCGGGAGAGACGGAGCCAGCGGCGCGCCAGCGGGGCGGACGGTGGTCGTGCAGAGCTCCCTGCCTGGCTTTGCCTGCGACAGGAGCAGGCTGCGGATTTCGGGGTCCCCACTAGAGAGAGGGAAGGGAAGGGACTTACACGTGAGTCCGGACTCAGGTTTGTTGGACAGCGTAGACCGGGTCTCTACAAATAATGCAAGGAGGCAAAAGAGAGAAATAGGTCTTTGATTGATGCTTGGATCCAGCTGCAGTCTTTTGCAAGCTTCACAGCAAAATCCTAGGCACCTCTCAAATAGGACCGATGGGCCACTCACCCTCCACAGGGAACAGGTTAGTTAGAAAGTCTGATTTCCCGTCTCTACAAAATGCATCTTTGGGGGATTTTTCCCCTGCGTGTGACTTTCCTTGCAGTGGAGCCCACATTCCCAACACACAGACCTCCCAGGGGTTTATTAAGAACTGCAAAGCAGTTAAACAGCGGGACAGACCAAATTCCCTCCAAAGCAGAAGCGTTTTCAGTAGTGACGAGTAGCAGAAATTTAGAAAATGAGCGCAAACCCGAGAGCCAAGGCAGCAATGTGCTTGAGCCACGTGCGGCCCAGGGCCTCCCTCGGCCGGAGCCTCGGCAGCTTCCAGCCCGACGGTTTCCATGTGCACGTCCAGCTGCGGTCCGACCCCAGACACACTTCTGCCACCCTCACCCTGCGGGGAAAACTCCCAGTTTAACCGGGACGAGATCAAGGGATAACTCCCTTTGCTCTGGAGCAGAACTGCTGACCTCCAGGGTCCATCCACCCCTGGGGACAACAGCTTGCTGCAAGGACCATTTTTGCAAGTGTGTCCTGCCCCTTCCCTTTCCCCTGGCCATGCACTGCTGGGCAGCTTAATTTAAACCTACTTTCAGCTGGCACACAACAAAGGAGAACATCATTAAAGGTCTGACCCCTGAGTACCACCCCCTAGAGCTGCTTACGCACGCTGTCACTGAAAATTAAAAAAACAACAAGTAAAGAAAAAACTACACAGGTAGTTCAGGTTCTTTTGGCTTTGGAAAAAAAATATAAAATGAACTAGCCCGTACGTATCTCACCCAACATGGCAAGGGGTGCGGGAGGTTTTCCTGGGGGGGCTGAGCTTGGGTAGGTGTGGGACCCACAGAGAGCACAGGGCTCTTGCCTGGGCAGTTGGATGCAGGAGCTGTTGCAGGGAAACGGGCCCCTCGGCCATAATAAATCTATAGGGGGCTTGTAGGTGCTGCCATCCTACACATCACAACCACCCCATACAGCACCCGCCAACAGCCGAGCTGGGCACAAGCCAACGTGGCTCCGGTACTCACTGCCCTCATCCAAGCTGCAACGCCGAGCAGCAACTGGCTCGAGCGCTCTGCGATAACATCTCATTTAAAACAAAGTGATCTTAATTTGGTCTGCCCCCCGCCCCCCATGATTTCAGCCCCTGATAAAGCACAAAATGACAAATACTCCACTTAAAAGCGATGGTTTCAACAACTCCCAAGGACAACGACCCGTCTGAACCAGCTCCTTGTGCGTGCACAAGCAGCGCGCAGCCAGCAGCTCCGCTCTTTGCAGTTAACTGCACTTCTCCTGGCGCTGGCAAAGGGAGTGCTCGATGAAAGAGAACCACCACGACAAGGAGTCCCCTTCCTCACGGTAGATGGAAATGGCTTCCTTTTCCAAAATCAGCCTTTTGCCATAGCAAACGCAGGAGTCCACGCGGCTTTTGAGGAAGCTGAAGGTTTGTTTTCACAAAGTCAAATTTTACAGTTAAAATCAGGACTAGGAAAAACATCCGAACATGTTCTCTGTTATTCTCAATTGACTCTCAGGTTCATTGGGAGAACTCTGGGCAAATTAAGCATCGCCAGGCACAGGGCCTCTTTATAATGTGTCTGAAGTATGAAGGAAAGCCAAGAAAACAAACCTGTCTCCCTTTATCAGAAAAACTAAAGGACCACTGTACACAAAAAGTGAGGAAGTTAGGAATGATATTCTGTAATTCTGCTTACGCTCCCCCCCAAACCAGAATTTTCTTCTTTTAGTGGCAGCTGCTACCAAAATCTAAGCACTGTCTTATAAAAAAGCATTCATATCTTCACAGTTCTCTTCTGTTTTGTAATTGAGTGAAATAATCCATAAATATATCTTAACTAATATCCAAAAGGACTATTTATCAGTAATACCAGTTAACTTGGAAAAAATCGTTAAACTAAAGCTCACTTGAGAATGTATTTACATCCGATTTTTTAAAACAGCTATAAACAAGTGGGGGTGTGCATTAACAGTGCATGATCTCCTTTAAATATGAAAGTTATTCAGGGCTTTTTTTATTATGAAGAAAACATTTGTATATTGATTTCAATTAGCATATGTAATTTTTAATTCCGACAGTTTTTGAGTTGCGCTTGTACAACAAATAGCCTCCACCTCTAGACACACACCTGGAGGCTGTTATACGTTGGTGTAAGCGCCACAGAACTCAGCTCGTGTCAGCTGAGCTTGGAGGCTTACCGCGCAGAACCGTACCACCGCCAGCCTTGTCCATTTAGCACCAGGTTTTAAACTGCTTTTTCTTAATCTCCCACACCCTGTATCTTCACCGCTTGTCAGATCACCCTCTTGAAAAGCAGCCATGCCATTAGATACTCTATTTGTAAGAATAAGATATGGTTGAAAGGATATTTCTACAAAAGCACCCCTGTCCTCAGAACAGAGCTCATTATTCCATGAAGAAAACATCAAGCTGTGTTAAAAACCTGCTTTTTGTTTGATTATGTTCCGACGGGCTCATGCAGAAGCTTTATGTCTGCGTTGTCGGGGGAGAAGGAAAACAAGCACAGCAGTCTCCTAATTCACTGGCATCACTAATTGTCTTGATGAAAAACTAAATTAAGCCCCAAAAAAATGGTACAGGCTGCACGCTCCAAACAAACTCAAAGCTATCACCAAGCTAAGCATGCCGACCTCGGGCACAGCAGTCACGTCAAGATTTAGACAGCACGTCCGCGCAGTGGCACTCTGATAGCTCCGCGCAGAGCCGATACATTATCCAAGATCCTGGAAGCGGAACACCCACTTGATGCCGAGGAGTGCCAGCCAGCTTGGGTGCAGTGCCCTACTGACACAATCGGGCTGTTACGGACCCCGCTTGTTTGGCAACGAACTCGAAGATCTCTAAACCACACGTCAGTGGAGGATCACACAGCTCGCTGGACTGGTTTTCATCAGCGCCACTGAAGGATCTGTACTTTTCCCAGGCAAGTTTACTCACAGCTACCTCCATGAAGCCACGCAGACTGAAGTGACAGCCGTCCGTCTGACCAGCAAGAGTTCAGACTGCTGGGAAGGAGCGTTTAAAGCAGAAGCACACACGCCAACTTTTACTATGCATATTAATAAATATTCTTTATTTAAATTTTGCACATTGCGCTTTAACATATTACATCCAAAACATTTTGCAAATGGATGTCTACTTTGTAAAATCTTATATTCAGCTCATTGTCATTCTGTACAGAATTATAAGTACAACATTACTTTGCCACTAGTTTGCTTTCTGTAAGTCTCACAGTAAGAGAAACATTTAATGAAAAGAGATGGCTTAAATTATAAGAGAGGCTTGCACAGCTACTCAACTAAAGATACAAGCCTGAAGAAAGAACAAAATTAATGAAATCACCTCCACCAGCCTCCCCAAAAAAACAAGAAAAAAAAAAGAATCACATTAATTTAAGATAAAATTTTGCCGTAAGTCACTAAATTAAGTTTTTGAAAGAGAAGGCGCAGTAGTCATCTTGAGAATTTCAGTGAAAGACAGCTATTTTATTGTATTTAGTTCGCTCCAGCTGTTGTCAACCAACCGTTACAAATGGGCCCCTTGTGATCATTTAAGCGGCAGTATTTATTAAATTTCTCCTTCAGATGCTGTCGGTATTGTTCTCTATTGCTGTAAAAAGACTTGTTGTTTGCCATAAAGGACTGTATTTCATCTTGTGAGATAAAGATTTCCTCATCAGAAGTGCATTCAGACTCATCCTACAAATGAAAACAGGCATTTAAGAACTCAAGCATCGCCCTTCCCGTGCAGTACACCTGCCTTGCAATCACACACCTTGCCTACAGCTGCTCTGAAGAAAGACGCAGCCTTCCCTCGTGGCACCAGGAGTCTTAGTTGGCTAATCCACTCACCTCATTCACACACAATGCTCTGCTATTTTTTGAGTGAGAGGCAGCCTATACAGTCACAAAATCTATCAGAATAAGCTTCAGAGTCTTAGCACATTTCCATTGAAAGAGGATGGCTTTATTAGAGTAGGTTTTTTTTTTTTAAAAAAGAAAAAAAAAAGGAAAGAAAAGAAGAAAAAGGATGTAAAGCAAGGAGAAGGGAAGGAAAGGGAGAGGGAAGGAAGCTTTCCAAGGAGCCTGTAGTGGGAAGTAATATTTGAGGCACGAAGGCAGCAATAATGCAGGCTTCATTTCACGGAATAATGCAATCCTTGACAATGAATACTTATAACACAAGTTCTCTTACTTGCATTCCAGTGACAGGCAATTTCTCCTCCTCTGCAAAGCACCCAAGTTATACATTTCACAGAGAACATGCAAAAGCAAACAAACTAAACACTGGGAGAGTAAGCTCTGAATCTTAGCTTCGGTTACATTCTCTCTTGTAACAGTTCTTCAGTGGGATTTGAGTTCTAAAGCCTATCCTCAATCCTGAGGATTTAAAGCCGTATGCTACAACCTAAAATTCAAAGTAAGTGGTTACTTACAAGGAGTTCCACTAAGCTCTTGGCACCTTTTCCAGTATCAGGAACAACTGACATTTCTGTAGGTTCTGCAAACTGTGACACATTTTTCATATGCTCAAACCAAGGCAACTGCTGCCCGCTTTTTTCTGAGCTACAGCAGCTTTCAGCTTGTGTGTCTTTGGTCTTGTCGCGATGAAACTCTGTGTGCATGATATTTCCTGAGGTCTCTCTGTTACCTGGATCTGCCATACAGCTTCCAAGTTTCTGAATCTAAAATCGAAAATAGCCTGTAATGAACTACTAGCAGTGTTAAATCTGAGACATTCAAGTTTCAGACGGAAGCAGAAGGAAAGAGAAAAGAAAAAAGGTCAAAAAGAGAGCAAGTATATATATTTTTTTTTTCAAATGTGTGTGCCTGGGCCTCCTGGGGGGAACGGCACATTAATTCACTGAGAGCGCTCAGAAGTGCACATGCTTGGGACCATAGAAGAGACTCCTTCCGCCACAACCTATTCTAGGGAGGATCTTGATTTCAAAACTTGGATGGAAAGGTAACAGAAGATCCTGGTTACCCCATTTACAGCATTAGTCACAACTGTACTTCTGTATCTACTTTATCTATGTGTATCTACTTTCTAATGTATGCAGTTAAATAAGCATTCTGGACTAGCTATGTTCCTTACATGTTCATTCTCACACTTCAAAGTTTTACTTTTCTTTTTCTTCTTTTTGTTTTTGCCTTTTGTGTTATTCTCTTCCGAATTAGCCCAACATTCCACACAGCTATCTCCATCCTCCTCTTTGTCGTCACAGCGATGGACACATGAATCGTCTCCTGTAAAAGACAGGGAATTTTTCTTTGCTACTGAAGTTCTGTGGATACTAAACCAACATTATGTTCTTACCAAACCTACCATTTTCGTCATGGTTGCAAATGCCTTCAGTGCAGGCCACATCCGATCCCTCTCGAGATCCTGTTTCGCTGCCCTCCATGCTAGATGAATAGCCACAATCACTACCGTTACAATGTGGAGATAAACCTGAGATGAAGTGAAAAGTTACGGTAATCTACAGTAGCTGTTGTATATTCTTCAGTTATACCTCTAACAAGAAAGAATTCTTAAAGAAAAGTTATTTTTAAAAATAGCTGAGCACTGTTTAACCCATCAATGGTAAATGTTTTTAAAAATGAAAAACAATGGACATTTAACATACCTTTCTTGATTTTAGGTGAACCTAATAGGGTACCACTACTAGGACAAGTGCAAGAAGTGCTTTCATTAGTAACAATTACTTCTACACAATTGCTAGCTTCTTCGGTGCTACCACAGGCTTTGCAACTACTTTCCATGAAGTTCGAATTTTCCTTAAAACAAAAACAAAGAAATACTTGCAAGTACTGAAAGAAGCTCAGCCAGCATCTTTTTATAAAGGATACTCTTTCCACAAGAAAAAACGGCGGACACTGACTGATAACAGCCACAGCATTGCTTGTAATTCTTCAGAAGTACAAGACAACTAAAACAAGAAAACCCAACTACTTTCCCCACAATAATATGACCTACAGTTAGCCCATCAAGGTCAGTCAAGAGATCCATAATAATAATTGCACTTACTCCGCCAATTAAAGCTTCCCCCTCTCCAACAATTCAATCATAATTGTCTGCAACTAGCATTTGAATTCCCATATTCTACGTGATCTTTAAGAAATGACAGTTGAAAAATATTCTAGCATAACCTGACCCCCTAGATTCAGGATTTAAAAAAAAAACAAAACAAAAAACAAACCACCAAACCCAAACCCCCAAAAGCTAAGGAGTTCCAGGCAACTACTCTACAGAAAGACTGTACTAATCTGAAAAACTATTAAATTCCATTAGCGATCAAAAACTAGTTCCCAAAACCGAAATACAGTAAAAACCTCTCAAGAATTCTAACACAGAACAGTGAGCTGATGAATGAAGCACCAAATTAGAAATCTAGTTATTTAAACAGCAGCAAAAAGCCACAGCTATCAATGTTTACCTTTGCTTGATTTATTTCTTTCTCTTCTGTTGCCTGCAAAGGAGTAGGGATCTCACACACACACTTATTTTTCCGTCTGTTCTTTCGTTTTTGGCGCTTCTTCTCTTGTTTAAGCTCTCGTACTCTTTCTTCTTCTGAAAACTCTTCACAGAGCTGTTCCAATCGACTAATACCCTGCACTTTTTCCACAGCCATCTGTTTATAAGAGGTTAGATCTATTTATAGATGTTAACGCAATTCAAGCTTTTACATTTATAAAAAAGGAGGATGAAAATAGCTGGTAAGTACTTTTTATAATAAAGTCACAGAAAAACACAACTATTGACTATAGAAGAAAAATGCCTATCCAGACTTAGTCACTACATTTGGATTGCTGGAGAAGATACACGTATGGGGGGAGCACTGCATTTAACTTATGGCCTAGATTCACATTTTTCAGTGAAAAGTTGCAGGCTTGAACGCATTTTTGGATCTGTTTACATGGTAGATAGTCCGATTATTTAACACAGTAGCACAGAAAGTCACATTAGAACTACTGCTACAGAATTCCTGCAGCTCTTTGTCTAGGGTAATCAGTGAAAAAAAATCTGACTTTCTAGGCAGTCCAATTTTGAAGTGTACACATATCTCAAAATATAGCAAGTATCTAAGTATGTTCCTTAATATTAAATTTAGAACAAATATCATAATGGCATGTCTACATACGGAGTTATGAGAATATAGTTAAACTAGTAAGCTATTCTGGATCAATGCTCCTACAAGAGGTAAAATTAAATTCACTTCCCCCCTGCCCCCCCAGATCCCTCTGGGAACTCCTTAAGCAAAAATGAGACATCATCATTCTCACTCACCTTAGAAAAGGACCCTATATAAAGATATAACAGTTCTGTATTTCAAATTCACAGCCAAACTTGCATACCAGTATAATTACCCAAATTTTACAACGTTGATGAATTTTCAACACCATACTTTACTAGATTAAAAAACCATTAAGACAAAACCTGACAAAAATGCCACAGTGTACCCAGTCCAATGCCATTTCCATAGCATTGTAAGTCTACAAAAAACAAATTACTTGTAAAAAACTCCAAGAACTAACTAGATTAGGGTTCCACTATGATCTTTCCCAAACTGATTTTGTTCCTCCTTCTCTGATGTTTTAGAAGTTTTTAGAGAGAACAATCATTATGAATGGAAGATAAACATAACAAAAAAGACCTACGTCATACCATAGGGGAAGTATGCTATCGGCATACATTAAAGGAACTGCATGGAGTTCTGTCTGAAATTCAAGATCCCACAGGATTACAGAGTGCATTCGGAACACACTGAATGCAAGAGTTAGCAGTTGCATTTGTAATTCAAAAGTATATCCTCCATTTTCATTAATAAGCCAAAGAAAAACTGATGTAGCCAAAGCTACTTTAAATGCTATCAGGTGGAAATACCTTTACCGTGAATTAAAAACACAGAAGATCCAGCATACTGTAATGCGCAGCTTGGAAAGTAAAAGCAAGCCTCAATCTTTTACGTTCCAGTAGACTTCACATCGAAATGCAACTCAGTTGTGCTACGCATTGATATTACACAACTGTTGCCTGCAGTAAACAAGGGATTGAATGCAACACCCTTGAAGCTCCTTCCAGCCCAACATTAGTAGAAAGCAGAAAAATAATTTCAGTGAAAATGCACACAGTTACTACTATAGCAATTCAAATATAAGTTAGATAAAATTTGATTTTTACCTCAAAGCTTTTCCGTAAAGCATCAACACCTAGGTAAAAAAGCATCTGCCACGTTTGTTCCTCAGCCCGCAACTTTTGCCAGATTCGGTGTAATCTTTCATAAAGATGAATACCCAGGCAGGTCAAAACTTCTTCTTGGGCTATGTCTATTGTCTTAGCATGCCTTTCTCTTCGTCTAAAGGAAGAGTTGAACCAAAGTATAGTATGGTTAAAGTAGCTGGAAGTCTACCGAGAGACCGAAGCAGTTCAATGACGTGTTTTCTTTATGTACAAGTGAAGATATGTTTGCACGAACAGCTTTTGAAAATCGAGTTCTGCTGTGCTGCATGCAGATGCAAAATAGAAAGGACCAGGTCAAAACCACCACTACATTCCTGACACGTTAATCTGTGCATGGCACTGTTAAGCTGTGCTGTGCCTTCCAACCTGTGACTTCGAAGGTCTTACCCCATCAGCCTCTGCTTGCTCCTACTAGGAGGGATCAGCAGAGCTTTAATGCCAAAGAGATGCAGCCATTCTTTTGTTTCCTAGAATTTGTATTTAGTTTCTATAGCAAATATTTCAGCTTCCCAGATATTTATGCGTCAGTTAACTGAAGCTGAATAAACACACATAGAAGTTCACACATTACTTACCGTACAAAGTAAAAAGGTTTCAGTATTAATCTGTATCTAGCATCTATTAAGGAAAAATCATTATAAAAGGATTTACCTGCCTAATCAAAGTTATGATTGAGCTTTAAAGATATTGAGCTCAGAATTGTATTATTCATTGGAAGATTTTAAGATGCTAAAACAGGTTCAGAAATTACTATCATATACAAATGGCAATAAAATTAATTGAACACTTGGCATTTGGTAAAACTGTCAACCAAGGTTCTCTTTCTATTTCGCATATTTTGAACACCTCAATGGAAAAGCAGACAGCCCTAGTGAGTGAACAAATGAACTAGCAGACAGCTGGCAATTTCTTTCACTCTTGCTTTCAGAGTTAAATGCACCTTAAAGTCAAAAGCACATATAAAATCTTCGCTACTTTGAAGCACTATCTTGAAAGTCTACTTCAATACGAGTATTTACATTCAGAAGTTTATTATGCAGCAAGGAGGCAAAAAATCACTTTTGCAAAATACATTCAATAATAAAATAAAGAAGCAAAGCGCTAGATAGCCCACTCTAGCAAATTACATACTCATACCCTCCTGCGAACTCTGGTTCAGCTCGACCCAATAGGTGTGCGATGAAATCTGTTTCACAGCATACATGTATGTGACGTTCATGGGGACAGCAGCGCAAACCCTCGTAAAGTGCAGCACAGTAGCCCTTTTCTTTGCTGCAGTCTAGCTCACCAATAAGAATATTGTATGCCCGAAGTACTTTATTTTTGCAGTCAGTGCAAAACCTGTGTTAAAACAGAACATAACAGAACTGAATTCTTATTCAAGCAGAAATTTAGACCCACTTAGTCTAAGTTATAATATACTGAACCGTTTAATAGCGCATGCTATATTTAAACTAGGTCACATAAGGTTTATGTTACTTCAAAAGGCAAAATGGTAAGACTTTGGCTGTAAGCCACGCAAGTTTACTATATGTATGATACTATCTACCATATATTACAAGTCTGGGTATCGACTTTCATGCTCAGAGGCATAAATCAGGCTAGTTGTTAATATGAAGAAATTCCTATATGGATAGGCAATTCCGTACTCATTCAAAGATCAGAAATCTAATAGTGAACAAACTGAATCATTAGTACAAGCCAGGACAAAATTCCTCTCAAGTAACACACTCCAAGTTACTTTATAGCAATTATTTAAAGTATTCTCGAGTGAGTGATAAGCAGTAAGAAAAAAAAAAGTTTCCTCTGTTGCCTGCTGTATAAGAGCAATGTTTCCACTACAAGCACCTTTAAACATACTTTGAATTATTAGATTACTGCACAGATAGCCAAACAAGGTTTATTTATAACACAACGTATTCAATTTAAACATGTGATAGCTCCAATAATAATATGAGAAGAGTACAGTTATGAGGTCTGTTATAATCAAAATACAACCAAATTAAGCTCATTCTATTTTATAAGAGGAGTAATCTTCAAGAAGCTACAAAACCTCTTGCTGTATTATTCTAAAAATGCAAGTCAGACAAGCTGCTCACATTTCAGCTTTCAGCTTGAAAAGCTGGCTCTTCATGCCATCTCTGGATGGTGTTTTTCCCTTTCCTAGTTTGTCCAGTCACTTGACAACACTAAGTCAAACATATTTTGATGTTTGATAGAACTATGATAACTGGCTAGTTTCTGTGGTGAAAGGAAAGAAAACAGTTATATTATTGCAGGTTAGCATCAGGAACCCTGCCAACACGATGTTTAATGTCACAGAAGATTAAAGTTATTTTGTTTCCAAAGTGTTATTTCCACACCATCACCACCCCCGCACCCATCTGCGCCCCCACAGTTTATATCAGAACCTTGAGACTACTGGAAATTAAAAGTTTTTGATCATCATGGTAGCTGCTGTACACATGCACCAGTAATTTAGTGGCTTGTTTTTTCCCTGCAAGAGAGACCTAATAGCACCAGCACTACTAAGTCATAAACAACTGTTTTATAACAGTGATTTACAAGCAACACTCAGCCTAGAATCTGCTTCTATTAGTTTAGTTCACATTATTTTGAAATTGCACATACTCCCCAAAAGCCTAAAAGAAGGCATAGTCCCAAACAGAGTAGGCTACTTGTGAGAGAGTGAAAGAATATACACAGTTTTAATATGTCAAATTGTAAATTGTAAATTAATCCTAACCAAAAAAATTAAGACAAGCAGCTATGACTTCATTTCCACATTTCCCCTACCATAACCCAGAACAACAGGCAAAACACAAAGAATATTTCACCATCTTAGGCTCATCAACTGTTATAATGCAATCTGGAAAGGTTCTCCATCACTATGCAGCTTAGATTCTAAGCTTTAGAAGGGTATCAGAAGAATCCTCTACCCTTTTAAACATTGCGTCAACCCTACATACGTTTTGATTCACAAAAAAATGCAGCATGTATTCCTCAAAATGAAGGTGTGCCTTTGTTCTTTTAACATACCTGTGTTTTCGTAGATAGGTTTCTAATGTTTCTAAAAGACAACTAGAGTCAATTAAAACTACTTCATCCCTGCATTCCTGGGACATGAGCTCCCACACATCCATCCAACAACCCCTGCAAAAAAAGTCATAAGACACAGAAGACTGTACATTATCCTGTCAGAGCTTTAGAAAAGAAGAAAAATAAACCATTGTTAGTTTACCTGACTGCTCTCTGGAAAGGTCCATAGTGGAAAGTGATATTACACTTGCTCTCCTCCTTCCTGCTGTCTTCACTATTTTTCTTATCTGCACTTAATTTCTCTGTACTGAGTATGCTAGTGCTCCCTTCACTGTCACACAGTATTAAAAAACATTTTTTAAACCTACATCATATATATTATGAACTAGTTATTTTTCCTAAACAAAAGCTATGAAAATGTTACCGTGTTCTTTAATTTACTTCGAATCCTTTATAGGCTAAGCCTTAACTTCCAGTAAAGTCAGGGTCAGACAGGAGACACAAGTTTTGCTGTCTGTGTTTACAAACCCAGATTCATAATGACTGTTTAAAGTTATAGCTGAAAGCCAGTAGTAATTTTTCAGAATATTACCTTAAGTATAAACATATACAAGTTTTAATACTTCTGGCAGATTAAATTTCATATGCAACTTACCAAAAATACAAAACAAAAACCCAAAGAAAAAGGCAAAACAAAAAAACCCTACAAAACTTCCACACATCTACCACCATAAGAAACCACAGAACTCCCTACATTAAATTTCCAAAATTTGTTAAAACAAACAAACAATTTTACAACACACTTTTGGATATGCTGAAAGTACACTTATATAGCAAAGAACAAACTTTAAATAGCAAGTCATGTTTACTTACAAGCTTGTCTACACTTGACATTTTATCAGAACGGTCACTTCTGTTTAAGCTCACATATGGATACAACAGGGCAGGAAAACAGGGGAAGAAGCACTCCTATTTAATGATTAGCTCCTCAAGAGTATTTATGTATGCTATTATCTAGTTTGCCAGATCATATGGCTTGCATTTATGAGAGGTTAAAATGCTCCTTAGCCCCAAATGGAACCGAGTAGCCATAAACCAGGCACATTGAAACTGAGGACATCAAGTAACTCTCAAGTGGTATTAGCTAGTTACGTAACTTGTATAATTAAACACACAATTACAATTCAAAGCCTTTTTTGTGTATAAAATGCCTAACAGATGCAACTCATCTGAAGAAGTTTCTTGTAATGAAGTCAAGCAGAAGCTTTAAGTTGATAAATAAAATTTGTTCTGTAAGATAATTCCACCTGATGCCTCCATGTCCAGGCTGTCAGCGTATTTGCTTCCACTCAAGGCAGCGGATTTATTTGGAGAAGTATCAGTACTGATACACCCTGATCATTTCTGTAGCATAACAAATGGGTATTCACTGAGCAAGCGGAGTGCAAGCTGTGTTTCTTTAGCAAACTACACTGAATGTCCACAAGCCCTGTTATTAGATAAAGCTGAAAGCTTTACTTGCAGTGTATTAAAATACTGCTCTTCCACATATTCCCTATTAACCTCCAGGATTCAAAATACTAAGGGAATTTATTCCAGCATAAATCCAGGAAATAAAGGCAGCGTTTCCCTCTCTATTCATTCAATTTCAGAATTGTTCTGCCTTGCTAAAATCGTAAGTGCAGGTTCTGTGATACATGTTCTTACACAGAAAAGATTAATCTTACCAAAAACAAAGAAAAAAAATTAACACTTTCATAATGCTTTGAATTTGCTTTATTTAAAAAAAAAAAAAACAAACACAACCCTATACTCCTCTGATCGTTTGCTTGTGTAACATAAGCTTTAAATTAATTATATGAAAGGCCTGTAACCAAAATATAATAGGAGATAATGATTAGCTACCACTACCCTCAGGCAGCACAAGTAAAAATCAAGTGTCAAATTCCACATGCCCAGCATCTCAGGGGATTTATCTAAACCCAAAGAGACTCAAGTCTGCATAGAAAAATACATGTCCTGTAACTGCAAACCATGATCAAGTTTTCACAGGTTGTATGCTTAACCAGCAGCAAAACACAACTGACTAGAAAAAGTCCTGGACATTCCAACTAAGCATAGTAGTCTAATTTATTGGTCATCATATAAAAAAAAAAAATAATTTAAAGACTCCCACAAACAAGAACCACCCTCCCGCCCCCAAATCCATAACAGATTTACAGGGAGTGTTTTTGTGGTTAACCAGATGGAATAAACCATTTCAACTTCAAGACACAGAGGAATGTATGCGTCTTTTTCACTCGTGTATTCAAAACATGCTGTCACATTTTGAGAAAATACATTTTACAGAGTTTTCGTTTTAACCCTGCAGCCCAACCACAATAAAGCCCTTTATTAACAGATGTGCAAGGCATTTTTAATAATCCCAAGCAAGATGACATATATTTGTTTACCATGTACCCTTTCACCTCTATGTGAGGAAAAACTGCTGATCAATCATTTTGGTGTAGAGCATGAAAACTAGTTTGTCTTTCTAGAGCATTCTTTCTATCACAATGCAGAAGCCATCCACGCCCTGAGCAGACTATATTCCAAGTTATGTCAGACAAGATGTGAAAAGCACATCAGAGAGCACTGGTTTCTAGTAGCCAAGTTGCATTTTGGCAACTGGTTTTGAAATTAAACATGGATATTTTTATCAAAAACAAACAAACAAAACCCCCCACCACTAAGTAAAATACCCAGAAGCCAAGAGGCAAAAATGGAACAGTTAGAACTAACAAGTTTTGGGAAACAGCTGATTTGATTAGTAGCCTTAAACTTTATATGAAAGCATCACCAGTTGCCTTAGGGAGCTCTGACAAAGGGCAGAGGGACAACTCTCACACTGAGGGAGCAGTACGGGTCTTACATCGGGAGGGCAGAAGACCTTACACCACTAGTTTTGTCCAGTCGAAGTGTGAGTAAGGGCAATGGGGAAAGTATTAAACACCCTACTGATAAGACTGTCACTCTTACTGCACAAAAAAGGGCTAACTACCTTCTTATGAAAATCTATGGAGAAAGGCTCGTGCTCTACAACACACGCTGCCCAAGACTCCTGGCTGCCTCTGTTCCTCTCCCCCACAGCTATTTGGGTCTACTATAATCCACATAGTTTGGAGATTACTACTCTGGCAAACAGATAGCAGCATAAGAATTGATCTCAATGCTTAAAAATAAATTAGTATCAATAGTTTGGTTCCTTGAAACATTTTAGATTGAATTGTGCATGTTAAATGCAAACTTACCCCAAAGGTTTTGGTTTGTGTGTGTCCAGGGAGTGTAATTGACATCTCTTGTTCTTCTTACTTTTGGGAATTGCATCAATCATATCATTCAGTTTGGACCTATGGAAAAAATGTAACTTAGTATTCTGAAAACATGGTTATCCAGAGAAATTTTAAAGGGATTGATTCAGCCTATGTATCAGAAACAAGTACGCTAATGAACATTAAATCTAAAACTTTATTCCTGTCCCCCATTTTTACTTGTTATGTCATACAATCCTGCAGTACACCCGGAAAATACAGTATAGATTTTCCAGACAAATCCTAGCAAGCAAGATAAAGATAACCCGCATCCAAAAAGCTATTGCATAACTTCATAAGTAACAGACCACGAGTAACAACGCCTATTTCAAAAGTGTAAAAAAAAACGCTTTATCAAGTTACGCTACCTCACCCTTCAAATCTCAATATCCCCAGCTCTGCACTAACCTTTCCTACTTCTCACTGCCCTGCTAACTGGAGCAAGAAGTAGAATGAGCTGAAGCCAGCTGGAAGGCAAAGGCACACTGTGGTGAGCAGGCACTGTTCGGTCCACTGACAGCTGAGAAACAAATGGCACTGAGGCTATTTATCATGCTAGCCAAACCCAGAAGGTTTCACTTTCTCAGTGTTACCTTTTCTACCCAAGAGTAGAAAGTTGGTGGGGGGGAGGTGTTAATTAATTTTCTTTATTATTTTATTTTTACATGCAAAGTAGTGTGGCACAGAAATACTCTTCTGCCAGAGATCATGAAAACCCCACAGTGCGTATTTCAGATTAATGACTAAACATTTTATTATTGGTATCTTTCAATCGCAATCATGGCATTGCAACTGATGATACGAAAGATTAGGTCTTTTGGGGTTGTTTTTTCCCCCAGTTAAGGCAATAACTAGTTTAACATGGCTGTAAGAGACAAGTATATACTGTAAGATTCAAACTTGTGACAATTTAGTATCACCGAGAAAGCTGCAAAGTCAAATGCACAGAAGCTAGCTTTCCTTTTCCGAAGACAAGAATAATCTGAGCAGTTCTAAAACACTTACCCATGCACGTAAAACAGTGTATAAAGCTTCTTCGCATCAGTCATACAGCTTCGAGTTACAGAAAGAACACCCTTTGGCCCTACTGTCAGGGGCTCAAGTGCTGGATTTCCAGATTCAACAAGCTGAGAAAACAGACGTTCCACACTACGACGACAGCCAACACATGGGACCAGCTGAGAAAGTGCACTCAAAACTTCACGAGATGTCACCATCATGGCAATATTTAGATCCTGCTGTTTAAGCATGCTATGTCTCTGAAAAAGAACAAGAAATGAAATAATTAAAGAAAACAAAACCACATCTTAAACCGTTCAAGATTTCTTTGCCTTCAACAGCATTTCCTTATCAAAATACACTTGTGGAAACTGTACACAGTGCTCAGGGTTTCAGGTCACTGTCTTACCGTAGATCACTTAAAATACTTACTGTATGAACAAAACCACACTTGCTAATATCACAGGAGCAATTCTGCTTCAAGTCTTACAGTCTACCCTCTGGAAGGAAGCTAATCTTTTTCTCCTCTTGTTCCCTCCTCCTACCACTCACATCAGCAAATGCTGCTTCAGAACAGATGGCACACCGCCCTGTCCTTATCAGGAAGCCCTTTTTTCCTCCACCTCAGCACAGATGTTTTAGTAAAGGGTTACACATACAACTCTGCAAGTTCTGATCTTCTACTCACACTCATTTTATCTTTGGCACATAGAAAGGAAACTCCTGGACGCTCATTGGCATATATGGAAATCTCATTTACAACAAACTTGTTCTGTTCAGACCAAGACAATTTAGCAGTATTTTTCCTGGAAGGCTAAAGGGCATTTCCCATTACAATTCTAATACCTGAAATTAAAAAAAGCACACATTATTATTCAGGGTGAAACGTTTTACTTCAGCAGTGAACATTCAATGTGTGCTAATAATAGAATATTAAAGGGAACATCATCTAATATTTCTTACATCAATAAACAATTTTAGGAGCTTCTCCTGGTTCCTCTGTCAAACACATCCAGGCACACATACACACAAAAAGCATGTACCCTTCTATTTCTTCTTCTAACTGCTAAATTACTGGCTTGGTCTTCATCAACGCTGAACTGCCACTAACACAGCTATGAAGAAGAGAGTGTCCCTTCCTCACACACCAACCAACACAACTACACTTAGAATATCAGCACTACCGACACTTTCCAACATTATCTGTAAAAGCAGTCTCCTGTCAGCGCGTTAATTGCAAACGTAATTTTTCCCTGGTTATACAAAGTACAGCTTTGTGAGCATAGCTGTATCTCTACAGGGAATGTTTTTCCACAATAGTATTTTCTGTATTACTGTCATATCACTCCTAATGTAGAAATGACTTGTCACATCTTCTGAGGAAAGAAAGGAAAGACCATACAACACACAGCAAAACCAGGCAATCCCTTGGAACGTGTAAATACATCAAATGAAAAGAGAAAATATTTTCAGCTCACTTTATCTATTACATGTTATGAAGAGTGAAGCTATTATCAGACAACATTTAAAGTTTTTGCTCTTAAAGGCAGGCACATTAAATAGTCTGACAAGTGGTATCACTCTGCAATAATCCTCTTTCCTGTAATTAATAGTACTAGTCATGGCAACAGCAGGAACGAGCTATTTTCACAACACAGCTATGCTTTATATGCAGCATATGTCTAAACTGCTGCTGTCAAACCACAAGTGAAGAAGTGCAAGCTGCATATCAGCAAACTGACCTGCTCCTTTGGACATCAAGTGGCACAATTTTTTAGTTGCTACAGGTGTTACAGCACTACGATTATTTGCCAGAGTGTTAGCAGGTAAGTTTCTATTATTAAAGCTTCAGGGGTACCATAAAATGGTCTCTCACTATTCAACTATATATAATCTATAAAATGGCACACTAATCCTATCTTAGTACGGTACTAATCATACAAACTCGATCTTAAGCAATGCACACTTCCATTTGAAAAAGCAGTTCAAAAGCATTTAGAAAAGAAAAAAATCAAAATGTATTTAGAAACCTAGTTTCCATTACATATAAACTGCCAGTGACCAGAAGATGTATTGTTTTTACAAGTTTTCAATTCTGACTAGATATGCAGCAATTGCCTCCTGACAAGACAACAGTGTATAAATGCTGTGAAATACAGAAAACTAATGCACTCAGTGTACTTTGGTATTAATATGCAACTGCATATAGTTGCTGATGTGTCTTTTAAAGCATTCCAGGAGCGACAACCTCTGAGAGAAGCGAAAGCATGAATCTAAGGAAAGCAAGATCTGATATGCAGCCTTCTCAAAAAACAGAAGGATGTATTTACCTGAATGAACTGTTTTAATTGTGCACCATTATTCTGATGTCCATCAAGGTTTAGCACGTTATCAGGAAATTCCATCACCATCTATACAAGAAAGGAGGAAAAAAAAAACCACACAAAAAAGAGCTTTCAGAAAAGAGACAAACAGAGCATTAGTTTATTTTACTTTCTTGGGGCAAATAACACAGAAATCATGTTAAACGTTCATTTATTTCACATAGATATTGGAAGCTTGGGAAAATAAAAAAGTAACAATTTAAGATAGTGAATGTTTCAGCAAAGTAACTAAATGTTTCACTAATGTTCCAGAGGCAAGTTTATAAATGGCAACTCTTAAATAGCTGTTATAGAGAAAGCAAAAAGCTGCTAAATGGAACATCAGTATTTATATTACATTATCTACATGACTTGAGATCCTGTTTCAGTTTTTTTTTTAAAAAAACCTGCACTTCACACAGTGAGACCCAAATTGATCCAACAGTCTAACTCAATTTATAAAGCTATGAAGAAACAGTCACAACAGTTTAATGACTGAGTCAACTCCTTCAAAGCCTAATTTAAAACCATATTAACCCAACAAGGTACTCCAAGGTATACTTTGGTTTGTATGATTGCAGCTGCAACTCTCCAGAGCCTCAAAATAAAATGTTAAGCCTACAGAACAATGTGATCACTCTAAGTAATTAATAATATTTCTTTTCAAATTACTGAGCAACAAAGAGGGCAATTTCTTAGGGGGAGGGTTGGGGGCAGAAGTCAGAAAATATTTTTCAGTCAAAAACCGAACTTTACAACCATGGAGAAAAATGAAACGAACTAGAAAAATGTGTGAACGCTGGCTGACTTGACCGCCTTTGGACAAACTGAGAAATACAGAATTCATCAATATAAATACTGAGAGTTCACTTTAAAATCTGAAAGACAAAATAACAACTTTAGTTAATAACTCTAATACCAATCAACACCAAATGAAATTGTCCGATTCAACTTTTTTCTTCCCTCCACCTTCCCTCAATTGTCTAGTAAAGACAGAATTCCCTGCTGTCTTTGTAATTGCTGACACTACCTCCAGAGAACTCATACATTTACTTTTACAGGCACTCAACATTGCTCCAAAATAAACATCTATTCTCTAAGGCCAGAAAGCAAGGCAATATTTTAATCTCACATGTGCTAGAATTGGAACATTAGCGCAGCTGCCTTATCTTTGCACAGAAGAGTGCCACAGTCAGTGCTAATTCTGACCTCCCATGCATTTCTTTTCCAGTTTCCCTTGCTCCTGACCCCTACACACTAAGCAGCAGAGCAAGTTTTTGCTGCAGAATTACAGGTTTCCTACATTGCTAATTTCATGTGTCTGTGGGGAACGAGCTACCTGCAAAAGTAAAAGCTCTATCTGCTAATAACAGAGAGGAGAGATAAATCTGTGTATTTTTCCCCCCTCACCTTCATCTCCCACTATTAGACAACACCCTTAGGTGTTTTGTATAACAGAGTGAAATTATCAAAGACTAAATTAATTCATGTGTCTGATGAGATTTTATTAAGTGGTTAAACATCAACCACCATCACGCCCTGACCTGGAAGAAAAAATTCCCATAATACCACATCAAATGGAATGCCTCCTAGAAATCATAAAAGCGGCTTAAGAAACGAAAAGGGTTAAATATTTAAACTTCCTTTAATTTCTAATTGAGCCATAAGAATCAGAAAAGTGTGATAGTGAACAATTCATTTAGAGAAACAGTATCACATTGCACTTAAACTGCTTTCTATGCTACTACAAAGCAATGTTATAAGCTTAAGAGCATTATAGGCCATTCATTTGCTAATTTACAACCACTGATTCACTATTTCTAGATTTAAGGCATAGATTAAGTCTTCCATCTGACTAACAGAAATGAAGTATTCCCATTATTTTTAAAATTTGAGTTTCAAAAGAGGTCAACACAAGCCAGTTACGACCAATAAGCATCACTATTTTTAAAGATAATGCTGCAGATGTAAAATTACGTTTCAAAGACAACTGCATGTCTTGCAGAAGCTCTCATTAAGTATTTAAAACATAAATTATAGAAGACTGAGACAAGGAAGCTAAGAGTTCATTCACTTGCTTCTGCAGATTTATTTAAAAGCCTCCAGAAACCACCTAGAAATCCAAGTGCTTTGTAACAGCAGTTACAGAATGGGGGGAAAAAAAAAAAAAAAAAAAGGACCTCAGATGAGATTTCTCCATAGTGAGGATGACTTGCACTTGCATATATGCCTTTCATCCAGATGGATACAAAACTGATTTACAGCTCTAGGAACCTCTTCAATCACAGCTTGCCTCTGGTGTAAAAAGTAGAAGGATAGTGACAACATAGTGCAATTGCACAAAGTTTGGATCTAGTGTTAAATTCTGCAACTAAACCACAAATGGAATTTTTGGTCAGTTGAAGTCATCTACCTGACTCTTGGTATAGCTGAATTTTCACTCACTCTCAACCTATTAAACACAACAAAGGTAACAAGGGCATGTTAAGTCTTCTACTTGACATAATCTAATAACTAATTTTACTAGGGAGTCCAGGGGAAGAGAGAAAAAAAAAAAAAAGAAGAAATCTAAGATCTTAAAACTACATGAGCAATGGAGGGGCAAAATAACTTTCAAGGCGTGGCCAAGACATCAAAAAAACCCAAACTTACACTATTCCTACACAGTGTTGGGTTTTCCGGGTAATCAACCACTCTAGGAGAGCTAGATATTGCTTTGGACAACTTAAGGTGAAACTTTGCCTAACGTATAAGCACAGTTGACAGAGTATGTAAAGCCCCAAAACAGTGATGATATTGGGTAAATTAATAACATGTCATCATTTAAAACAATCAGAACTAAAATACAGCAAAGACCCTTTCTTCAAATGTAGTGACACCAGATGGGATTGAGATAGATAATCTTTAACAGTGGGATGGATGGTTAAGAGACTGACTGAAGATACTCAATTGTTTTATACTGGAAGACGAAAGAAATTACATTACAAAGTTGATCAAGTTAGCTGATGCAAGTCAAGTATTCTCCCATACTAAAACATAGGATTAGGAATTTAAAGCACATACATTTTACACCAGTTAAAGTAACAACAGTTACTGTCACACCACCGACAGTGACAGAAATCAAATACGAATAACTAAGATACCCAATTACACTAAGTCCCATTTTATTTTCAACCCAACATTTTCAATTTCACCTTAAGAATTAAAATGGAAAAAAATTCTCTAACTTGCCAGTTGTCTATTCACTCTGTGTTCACCTACGATGCAATTTCTGAGCCTTCCTCTAAACACGCGAAGAAGAGAAGAGAGACTAGAGAGCCTCCAAGCTGCATTTCGTTTTTTTCCACTGAATCTTCTGGAAATGGCAAAACCCCCATGTTTTTCAATTCAGAATAACACACTGAAATGGAAACTCTCTCAGATTTGTTACTGTAGACATAGCAGCACATGATTACAGACTCGATAGCCCTTACTTTAAGCAAAAGCTTTATAAAACGCCTTTAGCCTTTTCTTGCCTGTCTCAGAGTGTAATAATTACCTACTTTTAAACCTGGGTTTTACATTAATAGAGCTCCCTTCCTTCTTCACCGAAAGATAGCTTTGCTCTGCATTTGGGCTTGGGCACCGAGACACGCTTGTCACTTGAAACAAGTTATACGCAGTCCGCGACACAGCAATAACTTTCTTATTATGCGGTTTGCATGCTTTTAGAGCTGGGAATCAGATAAAGTTGCCACATTAAGCGCCGTTGACCCGAAGTGCTGCAAAGCCCCAAAGATTAACGCTGCGGGAGCAGAGGAGGCGCTCAGGAGGCCCGCCGAGGGAAAAGGCCTCGCCTGGGAATTGCAACACACCGCCCGCACACGTTGCAAGCGGGAGGCACCCGGACACCGGGCGCTCGGCGGGGCGCAGGCACTCACCGTGAGGGTGTCATCGATGTAGAGGGGAATCTGCCTCTTCTCGAAAGGGAATTCCTCCTCCCCGTCTCTGCAAACTGCAACCAGC